AAAAAAAAAACACCACCACCACCACCACAGTAGTGACATCAGGAGACTAAGAATCCTGATACAGTAATTTGAGAAAGAGAGAAAGGTTTCAAATATATAAGCAAACACTACCACTATTTGTTTTAAATTTTCAAAAGGAAGGCTTTCCAAAGGAGGTTTCAAAATCCTTTCAAGTTACTTACATCTTCATCAAGTTGTACATCAGACAAGTCTCACTCTCACTGCCTCAGACATCCCAAACTATTTGGAAAAAAATGTTACATACATTTTGTAAAAATATAAAATACTAGCAAAGGTATCTGTTTACTAGAAAGGTTACACAGTGCAATGTAGTCAAGAACTCCCAGTGAAACCACCCTTTATTCCAAAATCATTGTAGAGTTCTCCAAAACTCGTTTGCATTGATCCAAATGGAAAAAATCTTGTTCTCAAGCTGTGCATCACTTATTGTAATATTACTGTGCTTACAAAGCCACCATAAAGTGCAATACTGAATATACTTCTCAACAAATGCAGCTGTTGGGAACATCTCAGCACAGAGATTGGCAGGCTGAAAAGAGTGCAAAGATAACATTTATTCAGCGGTATCATTCACTCCCTTTTAAATGTGTCCAGAAATGATGTGTCCAGATTTAAGAATTAGGTTTATGTCCATTATTGTTTGTTTATTTATTATGTATAAAAAAATGTCTGAATTGTTTTTAGAAAACACAAAATTCTGGTTTTTTGTTTTTTTAATTTTCTGAAACATTAGGAAAGTCAAATTCTGATCTCCCTAAAATAAAATACCTGGAAGATCTCTGGACATCTTAGAATATATAGACCATTAGTTTGCAAACTTTTATTAAACCAGTAAGGCTTGATTCAACAACCTCTAAACAGTAATTTACTAAAGTTAAGCATTCACAACGAAAAAGAAAATTTCAAGCCATCTACTAAACACGCATTCAAGTCTCCAATGCTCAGCTTTCACTCTCACTCGTGATATCACCACATCATTTCACTAGTTCTCTAGTCATCAGTGGATTCCAGGCTAGACAGGAAATGAATTTCTAATGTAAAAAACAAGTAGAAAACCCATCTTTACCAATCCAGCACACCGCCTTACAGGCTTTTACATGCTACAAAAAGGAAAAGAAAAAGGCAAAATGGTATTTTGTATCCATTCTAACTGAATTACCTTTTAGGCCCCATCTACACAATGTCTTACTCTTATGAAGCTCCATGTAATTGTGCCCCAGCCTTTGCAACAGAGCTCAGTCTTATCTACACAAGCAAGATCCAACTGCAGGCCTGACTCTTCCCCACCCTGTTATACCAGTTTTATGCTAGTGTAACTTTATTCAGTCAATGAAGCTACAGTGGCATACCTAAGTGAAGAATCAGGCTCTAGGTTTATAACACGTTAAAGCTTCATTATAGCAGCATTCCGATATGGGGAAGTCTAGTAAAAACAAAAAATTAGGCATTGTTTACACCTAGGGCCTGCTTTCTTAGAGGACTGAAAGAAAATATCCAACTGGCTTCCTCTAGGCTACACAATTTGTTTTTTGTTCTTCTATATTACACACAAAAAATGTATTAAAAGAATTAAGGTTACAAAGTCAAGCATTCAAGTTAGGAAATGCCAGAATTAAAGGTTGCTGTGCTCCCTGTCCCAGTCTCCTTCTCCAGGCTCCTCACCCAATCTCAATGTCTCACCTCCGCCGTCCCCTGCCTCCCCACACTGGTTCCTAGTTCTCCTTGCTCAACCAGTCAGCCTCCCTGGCTTCAACTATCAGTCATTGTTTTTCTCCCATAGTCCCAACCTCACCACCTACTCCTTTCCCTCCCCCATCCAAGTTTGGGTTTTTTTGTTGCCTCTGCATTTGTATCAGGCACTTTCTCCTCCATACTGCCAGCTGGGAGTGGAGCAACTGAAAGCACAGGAGAGAGAGAGGCTGCTCCCTGCTCTCAATTCTGGTGCCCAGTCCCACCCTGGCCCAGAGCAGCAATTTCAGGCAAAATCCTTCTGAGCCCCATAGCCCTGGGCTGGAGCATGCCTCGTTGCTATGTAGGGATGGCACATACAACGTCTGGTTGGCACCAGGAGCTGTGAGGGGGATGGAGCAAGGTCAGTGAGGACAGATTTTTTGGAAATTTCAGCTGCTTTAAAAAGGAAAAAGAAGTTCCTATGGAACATGTGCAAATTGTGGATTTTTCAAAGGCTTATAACTAGGCCAATATTTGGACATTTTCACCGGGACAGCAAAAAGGAACATCCTGGACACAAAAGCCACACCCTTGCCAAATTCTGAGTCCTTGATCCAAAGCATGGGGACAGTAGAGTATGTCAAAGAAAAGCTCACAAGACTATCATGGGCAAAACAAACCATTTTTCTATAGCCTTGTTCTCAAAAATGACAAACTTTCCAAAAAGGTTTAGCACGAGGCAGACACCTGGAATGGAAAGTTTAAGTCCAAAGAGTTCAAGTTTGGCAAAGTTATAAGCAACTGACAAAAGGGAAGTGTCTGGTAACCTTAATAGGTGGTGCTACCTACCCCAACTGTAATTACCCCTCACCACACACCAGATCTTACCTAGTTTTTGAAGGAGACCAGTGTGTTTTCCTTGTCTCTGCTAGTATGAAAACTTCTCTCCCACAAAGGCTGCCAAAGATTTTTTCAGTGCCCTTTTCTGGATCTTTGCTGTCTCATTTGAATTGAGATGAGAGACTGAATACAAGTGTTGACAATATTATTCTCTAACCCCAGGGTTAATTACAGTTTAACATCTTATTTGCTCTCCTCTCCCTGATCAATAGTACATTTTTCTTCAACTGATAAGGATTGCTAGGATTTGTGTCTTTCTCCCCTGCACCTGGAGAGATTTACCACTAGTTCAGACATTTTTTCCAGAATCCTGCCACCAAGGCTTTGCAGTTCAAAGCAATCGTCTACCTGGGGAAGGAGGCAGGAATAGAATCAAAGACAAGAAATCAAGAGGAGGTGACTGCATAACCTCAGATCCATCCAGCTCTTCACTTTCCAGTGCTCCCACTGCTGTGGATAAAGCAGCATAACACTCTTGGAAAGCTATTTCCCCTCCCACTGCTTCTTCTGACTCACTGTAGGGAGCAGAACAGTAAAATGTATGTCAGGCTCTGGCAGCAACCCACTGATCCAAGTTTCTCTTCTCTATTCCCACTCAGTTCAGGGGCAGCCTGATGCCACCAGTGATTCCCCAGCCCTGAGCATCTTGTAAGACTTTGGGTGAGAGCATGTGTGGGGGAAATGACAACTGGGGGACAAACAAGAAAAAGCAAAGCCACTTCACAACCAAGGGAAAAAGAAAATACAGATGCTGTCCACTGTGCCAGAGAATGGCTTAAGAAGCTGCTGAGGGTGCACTTTAATTCCAATGAGTCTCAGAAAAAATGGCTTGAAACCAGAGGTGGATAGCGTATGCTATCATCTAGCCCTCACACAAAGAGCCAGTAAATGCATTTCCTTTGTGTCAGTCCCAAGAATGTTCAAACAATACCTTCTCCTAAATCCTTCATTAACATAGGCAGGTCCTGAGACCAATACAATTTTGCAACAGTGCTATTCTTAGGGGAATTTCTGACTCTGAGCTCCCAAGATGTTAGTCAGTTAGAAGTCTCCAGTAAAGGGTGGAAAAGTGGCAGTTTAGTCCCAAATCTCTGATCCATCCTCACTGGAGGTATATAAAATTTCTGCAGATATTCCATACTAAAAAATATATATATATATATATATTCAATGAAAGAGTCTATTAAGTTATTAGGGCACATTAGTTCTACTGAATCTATTCTATCCTCACCTGATGAAGAAATCCATTTCCCCCACAAAAATCACTCATCACCAGTACTGACTTAGCATTGCTACCAAGCTGTATCAGAAATTAAAACGTTTTTTTCCATTTGATGCAGTATTATCCAATAGAATCTTTTTGTCTGGGTTGTTATAAAGCTGCCAAGAAGTAGACAAGACAAAGCATTAATCAAAGTAAGCAATAACAATGGTTTTATTTAAAACTTCCAGTAAAGAAGACCCTCTAGTTTTGGAATAAAAGTACTTAAAGTACTACAGAGTAAGTGAATATAAAAGATTAGCAGAAGAAAAAACAAAACATAAACCAGTAAAAAAATTTTTTTTAAAAGTTTGAAATAGATCCAAACAGGGTTTTTAAATCCTCCAAACATTTAACAGTTACTAGGTTTGGCAAAACAAAATTCTTTTACACAATTAAAAGCCTACTTCTTTTATGTAAACTGCCTAAAACTGCTCAATAATTCAAGAACAGACTGTACAATTTGTCTTGAAATATACAGAGCTGCAGTCTCAGGACCGCAGGAATGATTAATTTTGCCTTCTTCTCAGCTATATGAATTAACCAGCTACATAAATTGTTTTTGGGGGGAGGGAGGAGGCAAAAATAATCACAGTTAACAAGATAAAGCCACTATAAAAAAATAAATGAAATGCACAGCAAAGTTCAGACCTCCATTTCATTTCTTTAAACTAACAAGCTACGTTTACAGTATATTCTGCATGTCAATTGCCATTTCCCCCTCCCCTTTTCCCCACTCAAATATTCCTAAATCCTCTAGTCTAAGCTAATTAATTCTAAACTTTCAAATACACTGTACATACATTTAGCAAAGAGCATACCTAACATTATTCTTACAGCAGTATGGTCAGTACACAATTTCATAAAGATTATTACACATGACCATTGTTAAACCTCCCACCCCCCCTTCTCTCTTTCTTTCAAGGGAACAGCAAACTATTACTAGACAAATGGTTTTAAAATATTTTGTAGAAAGCCTGTGGAAAGCAGACTTCATCAATAAGGGCTATCAACCCCAGAGAACACAAACAATGAATGCTGAACATATAAAAGAAAGGTGACCTCAGAGTGCCAAGGAAGATCCCTTGGGAACACTGTCTAAAAGATTATTAGCTTGGTCATCCCTAACTATTACACAAAGTCCTGCTAAACAATTTGCATGTATCAATTTTACAAGAGACTGGTACAATGTAAACTGAAATTCTTGACACCAACAGTGTGTTAAAGGCTTTTTTTTTTGCGTGCTTTTTCCCTGAATCCAAAAGTTGGTCACAGAGGTCAAGTATTATCAAGGCTCTTATTTAGCTGCTGCCAGTTCATACATGTGTCTGACTCATACATCCTTCAAGTACATGCAAGGCTCAATAGTTTCCAAACTGCAGAAGCTTGGGACCCTTTAAGACACAGAGGAAATAGGATTATGAGGTGAGCCCATCTGAGTAAGAACTTTATCCAGCCACTGAAGGGGGCCATGCAGGTGTATCTCAATCCAGCACGGAGTGCTTGTTACATCTTGGCGATGATATTCGGCTCCCCAACCCTACAAACAAAGTCACATAGAAAAGTTATTACTTTTACCTTATTTTACAAGGTCAAGGAAGTGGAAAATGTTTCTATCTCATTTTATATAGTACAAAGACAACAGATGTAACCTAGCCTTACAGGTGGAGGTTACTACTGTAGAGGAGCCATTTTTGCATGAGTTATGTTACCACATTTTCCCCTGTGAATCTGAAGCAGATTTAAGGTGACAGACTGAGATACCTGAAAACTGAAGTCTCACTTCCAATTAGGAAATGGTAATGCATGCGTCCCCATATCACCCAGCCAGTATGCCCCAATGTTGCCCTCGAGACACCACTCTTCTGGATTCCATCTACCCTAGGGAAGTGACCTATGAACAATCTCCCCTCCCCCCCCAATGATCTTGGTACTGAAAACAGTTCAGCTACTAGTGCAAGTGGGGACTGGAACATTTTTGAAGACCATGGCAGAAAGCATTGGCCTCACATTAAGACAGTCTGACTATTAGAGTATGCTGAGCCAAACCATTTTTAATACCATGGCAAAAGTGTGCACTACTTTCATAATAGACTGTTCGAATGCTATTGCGTTAAAAACAGTTTGACCTCTAGTATATGTTGAGTCAAACTGTTTTCAAACACCTGTGGAGGAGCTAGGGACTCTTGGGGGTTTGTTGACCAGGTTACCAACCTGAGGTTATTTTCCTAGGGCAAACAAACTCAGGGTGAATAGACAGTTCAGCCCCCAAGCCTTTTTGGCCCTTGCCTTCTCTAGTGTGATTGCCACGAGGGTGTAATCAGTGCAAAGTCTCAGGCTGGATTTTTATTTATTTATTTAAATAATGGACATCTGTGCACTAGGAACTGGATTAAGCCCACAAGCTCAGGTCCATCAGCCAGTGAATGTCTTCTTCAGCTTTCACTCAATACTGACCTGGGCTGAATAGGAAATAGTGACCTAGAAGAAGAAAGGCTCCATGTGTCCCATTATGACTCCCAAAGCAGATGTTGCTTTTGAATTTTTCACAAGGTGACATTCGTTTTCATATCTGTTTATACTGACTCAAGGGGAGTCCTATAGCAGATTCATATAACAATGCATTTTGCAGAACTAACATTAAAATGCAAGGAAGCTCTTTGTCTCCCAAACCCATGGCTTTTGTGTTGCCCATGATAGTCCTAGTCCTACTGGAGATTCCCCCCAAGTCTCTCCTTTTCCAGAGGACATGGAAGGAGGCAGGACACAGTATTCTCTTAGAGGAGAGGGAAATATATTAACCGATTAAAAACAATTAAATACAAACAGAATTGAGGCTACCATGTTTGTGTATTTTTGCACTTCTGGAAAGGTACAGGTAAAAGGATTGAAGATAAAGGCTATTGGGAATCCCATAAGGCCTCTAGAAAAAGACTGAAGAAACCTCATGTACTAAGACTAAAAAGAGAGTGAGATGGGAAGATACACTGCCAAACAGATTAATAGGCATAAAAACAAGGGGTCATGGATCAACATTAAGGTGGGAACTTGACTCCATGCAGCTAGGGCCAAGGTTTCTTTACAGGATGGGAGGACAAACAGATAAAGCTTCCCAAAACATCTAGGACACTCTTGTAGCTATAAAAACAGCCAATGGAAGAAAGTAGTGTGCACAATAAAAAGTTGTTAATAAACTGGACAATTTTGGGGAGAACGGTGGCATTGGTCATATCCTAGATAGGAAATATCAGCCCAAGTTAACAGGGCGAGCACTGATGGGTTTTCTTTTAGCTAAAACTAAGTCAGTTATAAGATTTACTAATTATCTGGAAAGAAATCTAAAAGTTCATTGTGTAGTTTGATAAAGTAAATTATCTTTTTTGGGATGTGCTGGGAGGCAGTAGATGGACCACAGGAATCACAAAAGTAAAAAACCCACACCACACTATGTATTAACCTCAGATTAACCCGTAAGGCATATGCCCAAAGAAGTCACCTCATCCCTTTAAGGTACCACTTTAGGATACTGTGCAATTAATTTGGCAGTCTTGAAATATTTGACTGACCCTTTTATCCCAATCCACATTTCTGTCCCTCACATCATTGCTACAATCCTTACATGTACCCTGAGAACAGAACAGTATGCACTATGTTTATAGAATTTCTAATCACCAGACAGACCTCAGGGAACAATGCTACCTATCTTCCAATCACCTACATGATAGTCCCAGCTGGTATGTCCAAGAAATGCCCACTACTAAGGCAGCTTAACTTCACGATTTAATCCTTCGGACACTAGAAGATTGTTATGGAATACAATGTGGTTATTTGAAGGGCATGGAAAAGACAAAGCCTGGAAAAGTTGCTTGTTAATTACCAAACTTTAACTTGAGCCACTATGCATCAACTCTGTTCATAAATCAGCTGTGGTAAACAACAAAGATTATTGCATTAACTTTTCTAGATATACAGTAAAGAGACGGAAGGAGTCTCCATGCTTGCAAAACACAAATATTCAATCTAACACTCTTGGAGAAGTGGACTAAACACTGGGTAAATGGAGAGGAAAGCCACAAAAATGCTAAAAATTCAGAAAACCTGACCAATAGGAAAGGTTAAAAAAAAACCTGTGCATGTTAGTGTTGTGTAAAGAAGACCGAGGGGGACCGGATGACAGTTTTCAAATATGTTAAAGGCTGTTAGATGACTGATCAATTGTTCTACATGTCCACTGACAGTAGGACAAATAATAAGGGGCTTAATCTGCTGTAAAGGAGATTTAAGTTCGACATTAGGAAAAATGTTCTAACCGTAAAAGATAGTTAAGCACTGGAATAGTCTTCCAAGGGAAGCTGTGGAATCCCCATCCTTGGAGATTTTAAGAAGAAGTCAGAAGAACCTGTTTATTAAGAACCTGTCATGGATGTCTAGGTTTAGTTGGTCCTGCCTCAGTGCAGGGGGCTGAAGTCGATGACCTCTCAAGGTCCCTTCTCACCTCTACATTTCTATGATTTTAATGCAGGGGTGGGCAAACTACAGCCTGCAGGATTGCCACCCCATGGCACCGCAGGGCTAAGGCAGGCTCCTTGCCTGCCCTGGCCCCGCGCCGCTCCCGGAAGCTGTCGGCACCATGTCCCTGCGGCCCCTGGGGGGTAGGGAGGAGCCCCAATTGGCTAGGAACTGGGAACCGAGGCCAATGGGAGCTTCGGGGGAGGTACCCGCAGGCAAGTAGCAGCATGTGGAGCCCTCTGCCCTACCCCCTACGGGCCACAAGGACATGGTGCTGGCCGCTTCCGGGAAGCGGGGCCAGGGAAGGCAGGGAGCCTGTCTTAGCCCTGCTGCGCGCCACTACCACCCCGGAGCCACTCAAGGTAACTGGTGCCGGGCCGGAGCCCGCACCCCAACCCTCTGCCATGAGCCCCCGCCACACCCTCCTGCACCCAACCCCCCTGCCCTGAGCCCCCTCCTGCACTCCCCATGCCCCAACCCCCTGCCCTGAGGCCCCCCCCCACACCCTAACCCCCTGCCCCAGCCCTACATTCGTGGCCTTGCATGTAATTTCCCCACCCAGATGTGGCTCTCGAACCAAAAAAAGTTTGCCCACCCCTGTTCTACTGTAACATTCTATTGAGGCAATAAGAATAGTTGCTAGGCATGATGGAAACTACTTAACTGCACCATTATCAAACCTAAAAAAAACTTAATGGGGAGAAATCTGAAACTGAGAACCTACAGGATATACCTTTGATTTTAAAATTCTGTACACCAACAAAATGATGTTTGTCCAAGGGGATAGCTTTGTATATTTAAGGACATGCATACAGCTTTTGTTTTATAGAAAAAGTGTTAATAAAATATAACACACATTTACAATCAATGTAATTGTTGATAGGGGAACTTCTCCAATACAAGGCATGAAATGGAACTGTTTTCACCAGGATTATTTAACGTAATTCAAAAGGGAATATTATTTTGCTTACAAAACACAAGCCCAACTGAACTCTTACCTACCTTTACAAAACTCATACGGATAGTGCACATCTTAGTAAGCTCATACACTGTTTCAAAGCCATGGTTCACTGATTGAGCCAGAAGCTGAGCAAACTCTTGGTTGTTGAAAATTTTCAAACTGCAGCCACTGGGAATTTTACAAACTGTGGTTGGATGGAACCCATGGTGATAGTTGCAGTTTCGACTTTGAACAAAAATACTGCTGTCACTAAGGCATTCAGCATACACTTCTCCCCCAACATAATAGAGGTGAACTCCTAAAAGGAAAAAATATGTTATGGACAGGTCAAATTAATTCATCTCACATGTACAATCTGGCACACATCTTTGTGGAGATGTTTTTGTGCTTCTCCAGCCTAAAGAGAAACATTATATTTCACTCACTAGTAGGACTCTCTTAAAGCTTTGTTGTACCTGTACCTCCAGATTCCACCAAAGTTTGTTTTTCAAATCAACTGTTCATTGAAGTTCTGAAACCTGTTCATTAAAGTTTCACTTCTTGTAAACCACACAGAAGAAAATTACTGTAACAGTGCAAGATGACAGATTTACAGGGCCAGAACATCTGCACACATCCCATGGGTTCATACTCGGGGAACGAAGGGGGACAGAACATTGACTGGGCCCAGGGTAGGGAGAACAGGCAAAGAATCCTCGGAAAACAGTAATACAGCTCCAAGATGGATTCTCCCCCAGCATTACTAGCTAGGATGAGTTTCTGTTAGGATAGCTTCAACAGAGGTGCACTTCCAGGGAGCCAGAGCACAGTGCATTGTCCAGAGGAACAGCTTAAGGCCATGTGAATCCTATGGCTTCTCATGGACCCCTCAAGATCTGAGGCCATACCTTCAGCCTTTTCTATAGGGGACAACAAATCCCTATGGGATACTGGTGGAGGGTGTGGAATCTCTAGAGATCTCTCCTCCTGAGCCCCACATACAGGCTTTTAAACTTTACGAACTGTGGGGCTCAAGTTTTCCACTGTTGGAATAATCAATTTGAAATAGCAAAACCAGAAAAAACGCACATAAGATATTAAAGTAAATGAAATTCCAAGAAAGAAAATCTTGATGGCATTTAATAGTATGGGCCACGTAAAATTTTGCTGATGACGTAACTCCCATATCATCTTAACAACAAAACAATCTGTGGCCATGTCTTCAAGCTGTCAATATGTTCTTCTTACAAATGGTGAGATTTAAATGGCATTTCTATACAAGAACATGAAAACAAAAGAATGGCCATACTGGGTCAGACCAATGGTCCATCTCACCCAGCATCCTGTCTCCAACAGTGGCTAACACAAAGCTTCAGGGGAACGATCTTAAACAGGGCAGTTGGAGTGATCCATCCCTATTTTCCCCCCTCCTGGCTTCTGGCAATCAGAGGTTCAGGGTCACCCTGAACCTGGGGTTGCATCCTTGATCATCTTGGCTAACAGTCATCAACAGACCTATCCTCAGTGAACTTATTTAACTCTTTTTTGAGCCCAGCTATACTTTTGCCATTACAATATCCCATGGCAATGAGTTCCACAGGTTAATTGTGTGCTGTGTGAAAAAGTACTTCATCTAGTTTATATTAAATCTGCTCCCTATTAATTTCATTGGGTGACCCTGGTTTTTGCATTGTGGGAAAAGGGTAAATGCGTCTCTATTCACTTTTTCCACACCATTCATGTTTTTATAGAGCTCTATCATACCCTCCCGTAGTCGTATCTCTTCTAAACTGAATAGCCCTAATCTTTTTAGTTCCTCCTCATAGGGAAGCCATTCCATACTCCCATCATCTTAGTTGCCCTTTTCTGAATCTTTCCAGTTCCACTATATCCTTTTTGAGATGGGGGACCATAATTAGACACAATATTCAAGGTATGGGCGCCCTAGGGATTTATACAGTGGAATTATATTTTCTGTCTTATTTTCTATCCCTTCCTAATAGCTCCTAACATTCCATTAGCCTTTTTGACTGCTGCTGCACAGTGAGCTGAAATTTTCAGAGAATTATCCACGGTGACTCCAAGGCTTGGTCTACACTAAAACCCCAAATCGAACTAAAGTACGCAACTTCAGCTACG